AAGAAATTAATTTTTTACCAAGTGAATTCCTCATTCATTTATTCATTCATTCATTTCATATCATTATTGCAACTAACTCATATGGAGTGCCAACTATCAGCAATGTTATATGTGCTAAGGATGCTGTGCATATGCATACGGAAGAGTATGGTTTCTGCCTTCCTTCAGTTTAGAGTCTATTGGGGATGAAATATATTTAACCAGTGGTGACACAAAATTATAACTTTGAAATTGTGGTGAGAACCAAGAAGGTAAAAGAATGGAGACCCAATGTGGACTTGGGAGTCAGGAAAGTGCTCTTTGAAAAAAGTGACATTTAGGCTGAAGCTCCAGAGGTGAGTAGGAATTAACCAGGTTAAGCATTCCAGGCAGAGGAAGCAGCATACACAAAAACACAGAGAATGGAAAAAGTTTTGGAGATTGGGACCCTAAAACTCTGCACCTAGTAATCCTGAGGGAAATCTGGAGACCTAGGTCTCCTTATAGATATAGTTATGTGTTTCAGATTTTATTTGAATTTTTACAGTAATTTAAGCAAGATAGAAATATCATCAGATTTACGTCTTTTAAAGAGAGCTCCAACATCATATTGTGAATCAACTGAAGAAGGGCAAAAGTGAAAAGAAAACCATTTAGAGACTTGTCAATAGTTTCAATGAGATAAAATTAAACTAGCATGGTAGCAGTGGAATGGGAGAGAAAGAAACAGATCCAGGATACATTCTGTAGAACAGAACAAACTCAGTAATGGAATAAATTTTAGCACACGAAGGAAAGGTAAGTGGCAAAGGGGACAGTTTGATTTGTGGAATGTGCTATTGGGTGGATGAAGATGGCATGCACTGAACTGAAGAAGACCAGATGAAAACCATGTTTAGGGGTCTACAGGTCAGTCATGATCATGCTTATAAATCATTTTAAAAAGACAGTTGTATATGTGAGTCTGAAGCTCTGAAGAAAGCCTTGGAGAAATAAATTGGGAATCAGCAGTAGAGAAGTGGTATTAAAAGCCATGTGTGTGTGTGTGTGTGTGTGTGTGTGTGTGTGTGTGTGTGTGTGTGTGTTGTGTGTGTGCGTAGAAGAGAACAAGATGGTGAAATTTGATGCTGACCCAGAGCTAGCTCTGAAGGAATTTAAGCACTTGATTTTGAGAGAAAAGAGGTGTCAGCATTTAGGAGTTAGAGAGAACAACAGCAAAACAGGTGAACACAAAACCAGAGAACATGGTGTCACAGAAGCCAGGGGAACCAAGTGTCTCTTGAAGTTCATCATGGTCACTATTGTTGAATATCAAGTAGTAATGGAGTGTGAGAAAGATTCACTGGACCACAGAAGAAATTTAAATGGGGTAGTAGAGGCAAAGCTGATTGATGAGTACATGTGGTGGATTAAAAAGATGAAAAATTAAAGGAATTAAAAGAAACATATGCAGTTCACTTTTTTGAGAAGCATGTCTTGGAAAGGGAATGGAAGGAATGGTAAATAAAAGCTGGTGAATTAGAGATATATAAAAACAATGTCTGCATGCTATTGGAAAAGTCTATTAAAAAGGAAGAAGGTCAAAATCCAACTGAGAGGGAAGATGAATAAAAATGTAAGCCAAATTGTGATACTCTCCTGATTAGAATAAAATACATACTCCTCAGCCTGCTGTACAAAAGCCTTGAAGGCCCCTAGTTAAATCTCTGGTTTCATTTCAAGATACTCTTCCCTTCTTTGTCTTCCTTGGACATGCACCAAGAATTCTTCCAAGAATTCCAGTTTTAGAACCTTTGCATAAACTACATCCTTTTCCAGAAATTCTCCTCCCTCTGCTGTTTGCCTGGCTGACTTTGCTGTCATTCAAGTCCCAATGGAAACGTTCTTTCTGCCTGTGTACTGAATCCAAAACCATCTCCAAATGTTCACATGTCTGGTTCCCTCTTGTCATTTAGACCTCATTTTCAGCATCCTCAATGTAACCTCTCCTGGTCACCCAATGTAAATTAGTAATCCCCCCCCCATCCACACTTAAACATCCCGTTAATCCCTACGCAGCACTCATATGTCACATTTTCTTGTTTATATACTTGTTTACATGTTGATGGTATGTCATTTCCCTCTAGATTAGAGACTATGAAAGGGATCTGATCTGACTTGCTCAATGCCATATCCTCAGAGCATGTGATAATGCTTGGCTTACAGTAGGTGTTCAATAAAAGTTTGTTGATTGATTGAATGCTAAATTTAATTTATGGGTCAGTCTTAGAAAATATCTAGAAGTTAAAGGCACATTATTGTACATCTTAATCATATTCAGTATAAATGTTCAGGTTACAGGGAATTGTAGTGAATAACATTATTCTTTTGAAAATTTCTAAAGAATTTCTTTTTAATCATTTTAATGATTCTATATATCTTACGATGATATTAATTCTAATATTTATCTTTCAAGAGAAGGTTTTCCAGAAGTATTTTGCTATTAGGAAGTAGCCAGTCTAATATAAAAAAATGTAGTATGGAAAATCCATTTGGTAGATAAGACATATGTATGAAATCGAAAGTGTATTTACATTGAGCAAACATTTATTAAGCCATGCACTATCCTAAGCACATGGGATTCAAAATTGAATAAATGCAGTAGACTGATCTCTATTAACTCAAAGATGAGTGAGTAAATGAAGTTATAAAAAGTAATAATACTGTGCTTTAAAAAGGCTATAATAGAGTTTGAACAAAATAATGAGAGGTCAGTTTGTTTTAACACCTCTGGGCCGTGAGATCTCACTCATCTTAAGTCAGACACAATACAAATGATTTCATTACTCCTAGGGGCAAATGAACTTCAGTTATCCTGGTATATAACACCTTTCCCCGTATCAAATGAAAGTCTTTCTCACAAAGAAGGGGAAGAGAAAAGGCTATTTTTGATGTCAGTCTTTCAATGGAGCAATTAAGCTTTGCCTCTAACAGGAGGAGGTTGCCATAAAAAAGAAGCACAACAAAGAAAAATATCCTGCTCTATTGTTGTGCAATGTCAGTTTATTATTTCTGGAAGGGGCTAAGGATTAGAAAACATCTCTTCTTGAGTTACAGGGCCTGTAAAGCTGAGTAACTCAGAAAGTACTGAAAAGGAAGAGAGGAGAAAATAATAGAATAATAAAGAGCAATAGAAATGGTGTTGAGCTGAGCATGACCTTTACAAAAAGAAGGAAGATACTGCACATCTAAGAAAATCTCATCACAGTCCTCTCTGGAAGATTAAAATGATTTCAATTTTTGCCATTTATTTAATTTAAAAGTATGTCTTGCTCTGACAAAACATCACATTTCCAGAGATGAAACATAGAGTTTATACTGGTTGCTCAAAGTTATTCTTAAAGACCAAGAATAAGAGCTGGATATAATGATTGGAAATGTTTGCATGAACTCTGTGGGGAAAATATGTTCCCAGCCAGGGACAAATAACCTTTGAAGCCAAAATCAGTCAAAGGGAGAAATAAAGTGGGAGAAACTCATTTATTGCTTACAGCAGTTGTCTACTTCCACTCACCTGTGTCTCCTGTCACCCAGCTGCAGAAGGGCCCCAGCAAGCCTTCCTGGTTCCGATGCACCCTCACTCCCCTGCCCTTGTAATCACCTATTGATACAGAGATGCACCAAGGCCAGGCAAGATATTCTGGAAATATTGCAGTTTTACCCACGTCATATAACAGAGATCCTTTTCCTCCAAGTATTTCTTTGGGTTTATAGTGTCTCTCAAAGGACTGGAAAACACTATTATAAATACATCTACTCAAACATTTATGAGGAAGAAAATCATTCACCTTTTTGAAAATTGTAGTATTTATTTAGATTCCATTTATTGGTTGTTCAATGGAAAGAATGAGGCAGAAGCAAGAGGATAAATATTTCTGAGTCCAGAGCTTTCTGGATGAAAAAGAAGTATTCCTCTATGTATTACTTTATATCTAGTTGGAACAACAGAATACAATTAGTATAAAATTTGCCACAGAGTATTAACTTCCAAAATATTTTTAAACAAAAGTAAGCTACCCTAAACATAATAAGGGAAATATAAATACAAATTCACCAATATTAAGCTAGCAGGAAATATTTCTGTATCTTGTAAAGACATTTTAAAAGTCCTTAATACAATGTTAGTTCTTTCATTGATATTTTTTGCCATAATAAACCAGTGACACTTTTATACTAAAAGATAATATGGAATGCAGTTGCTTGTTTTGTTTTTCTCAGTATGTATTTCTAGAAAGCAGGAGGCTAGTTAAAGAATAGTATATTATTTGAAAACACTCCATGTGTGGGGTCACAGAGAAGACAGTGTATCAGACAGTGTATCAGAGAGAGGACAGGTGGGGACTCTGTGGCATCTTGCTGCACTGGTGGATGGTGACTCTGGGGAGGTGTGCGGAGGAGCTCCGTCGGGGTGAATGTGGTGGCCACACTGTTTTTCTTGTGAGGCCTTCATGAGAGAGTGTATCGGCGATGCCTTAATAAAAAAAGAAAGAAAGAAAAATAAAATACTCCATGCTTGAAATAAAATGCTGTTTTGCCAGAAATTTATGAAAGGAAAATGAAAAAATATGAATTCAGCTTTTATTGCACACCATACATCTATTCCAATGCTTCCTGGTAGCAACTTTATACAACTTGTTCCATCTATGTTATGCTGCAAAGACCATGTTCTTTTCCACTATTTCACATTGAGCAGGAGCAAGTCTTTTATAGATAGCTCTGGATTCAATCCTTCTTGCTGAATTTTGAAGTACAAAAAAATTTTGATAAAAAATACCCTGCTTTAGTATGGCTGGCCAGTTATAATGTTTTGCAAGTTTGAACCCCCAAAATGTGGTGTGCTTTCAAGCTACTGTTTAAATTGTCTCAGGCTACTTGTTTTAAGATCACATTATTAATTTTCCCACATTAATGATCTCAAACCTTTTATGTATTATCTTTTGTGAAGAATAACTTGTCTTTACCTTGAGCTGTGTTTGTGCTAGACCGTAGAATCAGGTGGTGACCCAGCAGACTCAATGGGGACTTTTAAAAGAATAAAGAAACTGGTTTGGACCAAGAAAGCCAGGATGCCAAGTCTGAAGGACATGAAACCTACATTAATAAATCTCCGTAAGTAAGAACTCAATGAGCAGCTAAAATTGCTTTGAGGAAGAACTGGGGTAGCATATATTAATGAAGAACATTTTGATAAGACCTTAAAATAATCATTAACACTGAGGGTTTCTTTTTTTCTATTTCCAAGTTATTTGTGAAACAGATATCCCTCCTCTATTTCTGAATTTCACCTTATATCCCATTTCTTCTTCCCTCCAGACCAGACTCAGGAATAGAGTTAAGAGAAAGCTATGGGTAAAGCTCAGCAAGGGAATAAGGGTCAGAATTGTCCACTGTTACCATTTCTTATCCATAGCAAACAAAAACAGTATTTTTCAGTTTTGATGTGAGTGCAGCAAATTGACGTGTCATAACATGCAACTTTGATTTTCATTTATTTATTTTAAATAATGCCCTCTTAATTGTAATCTTTTGTTTACCCTAGTTAACATTTGGACTTAAAGTGACTCAATGATACGGTACAATTTACTATGGGTAACATATATTTCTATGTTCTCTAACTGTGTTTATATACTACTGAAAATTTCATAAGACCATTCATTGCATGCAGATATAGACAGGTCTCACTAGCCAATTTTATAGTTCTAAAGATAGGCTTTTTTCTTTGTTTTCTCTGTTGTGCTCTTGCTTTTCCAAAATATTTCACTCTAAGATGCACTGCATACATAAATCTCTTTGCAGATTGATATGAAAATTTTGTTTAGAATACCAATAGGATTTCAGCCCATATACACTGAGAGTTCACTCTTTTAAGGGATGCAAGGTTTCATTTGCTTCCTGATGATGCTCTCTTATACACATGACCTCAAAAAATTAAAAAGATTTAAGAACTGAAGGACACCGTATCATGCTTATAAGATGTGGGAACTTCTTTTTTTTAGTTTGTAATTTATCTCAAATGCATTTCAATGTGGCTTCATTTCATTTGAATGTGGCTTCTAGTCATTCCAGTCAATCTGACTTTAATCATTATTATATGGCTTCATATATATATTTTAGGTAAATCTCTTTTTACAAAACAAATCATTTAATTTATACAAGACTTACTCTTTAAAAAAATGCTATATACATTATTTTGTGAAATTAAATGACTTCCTGATTTATCCTCTGGTTTCCATTCATCTCTACTATGTAAAGGGAAGTATAATATTCATAATTTCTATATGTACATAATTATTTACTTATTTTTCTTTATCATTCAGAAGATGAAGATGAAACATTGATTTCCTGCATGAAATTAGCCAAGTCTCAAGAAAAGAAAGTTAGTAATGTTAGCACAAGAAGAAAGGAAGCAATAGAGGTTAGATTGGATTCTCTTTCTGCATCACTGGTTGAATCCAGCACTTCAACTGGATGCAGTTTGGCAGAAATGTTATCCCACAATGAAAGTAAAGTTCAGATGTGGAATAGCTGGAAGCTGTTTCCAGAAAACCTGCTCTGGACGTGTGTGGATTTCCAAACTACCCACACTGGACCCTGGGGAAACTGTCCCCACTGCGCTCACCATGCACGTCTCAAGTCCTCTTGTACAGATACGGACCTCCTACATTCATGGGTAAGTTTGTTAACTATGGAAATGTATCATCTTATCTGTATGTTTGCACTGGAAAGAAACAGAGAACTAAAAAGTGCTGATCAGTTACATTTATCAGTTAGGAAAGGCACTTGAACTAGAGCTGTCTTTCTAAAAGGCAATGCAGCCCTTGTGATTTTTGCTATCATGTTACTATTGCATATTTGTGTTCAAATAAACTACTACATAATATTTTCCAGGGATATATTATCCTTTTTAATTGAAGTAAAACTTTGGGTGTTAATCCAGATAAAGAAGATGTACATTGAATTGTCTAATTTATTGCTGTTGTCATGAAGTCCACTGACAAATAATAGCTAACTTAAATGAGCATTTTCTTTGTGATTGCCATTTGCATAAGTACTTTACATGTATTATTTCATTTAAATTTTACAATAACCTGTAAGATAGAGAGTATTATTCTGATATTAATTCCCCATTTTACAATTGAGAAAAATGAGGAACAACAAGTTACTAACAGGTACAATGTCTCAGAGCTAAAAAGAAGTGGAGCCAAGATCTAGAACCTGGACAGTCTTATGCTAGGAAAGCTGCTTTTAACTAATACATTATAAGTATTTTCTTTATGCTAAGCTAGGCACTAAGGCTATATGGTTGTGAGAGAGTGCGGACTTTAGTATTAGACAAATTTGGATCCAAGCTCTTCTACTTGTTTAGCTTAGGCAAATTGTTGAAACCTTTTAATCTTTATTTTCTCAATTATAAAATGAAAAATAATAATATTAAACTCATGAGTTAATTGAGAAACCAAAATTAAATAACGCAAATATTTCAGGGCTTAAGAGTATCTAATTTTTTTTTCAACACATGATTGTAAGTTGCTTAAGGCATGTATTGTACCTTTATTTCCCTACAGTTCATGGTCATTTGTGTTTGTAGTGAATGAATGGAACAACTCTGTGTATCCAGGAATCTCACTCTATACCATTCTGCACTAAGAATCAGTCTCATTATACAGAGGCTATGTTTCATGGTGCATTTAAAGCTCTCGGAAGAGGTTTATTCTTTGTTGGAATTCTTTCCACCTTTTAAGATTTGTGTATTGTTAGATCTTTGCAGACTAGAGCTAAAGGAATCTTTGTTTAAAGTACCACATTAAATAGTTCAGGTGTCTAGTAGCAGACTTGGAATTGATGGAACTGTCCAACATTAATTTTTTTTAGGACTGTCTCCCCACTTTAACTTAATCTTCTTTTGGGGGCTGCTGGACTTTGCAGCCTTCTTCTTGGAGCAGTTTCTTAGAAGGCAGCTGGTAATATAATTAAGAACTACTTCTGAAGACACGGACAGCTTCAGAGTCAGGATCAAACACAAATATTTAGAACTTCCTTTGAGAATAAAATCTGGACTCCTTGACTTGATGTTTCTGGATTTCAGCAGCTGGGGCTCAAATCTAACTTCTCAAGCTTTGTCTACTTCTTCTTCCTCATAGATTTTCTATGCTGGACTGCCAAACCAAATGATTTGCTGTTCCTAATGACTGTCTTGCATTTTCTTGCCTCTCCATCTCTGTGTTTATGTATTGGCCTCTGCCTGGCATGTTAGTTTAACTTTTAAAATCATTACCCCATCCCTTAAAACCAGATCAAATATTTTTTCCTCTAGAAAGCCTTCCTGGCTCATGCCAGACAGAAGTAATCTTTCCTTCCTTTGAACTTTTAGACCACTTAAGGGCGTAATTCTTGCATTTTATATTCATCAAACACATATTGTCATCACTGTATGCCAGTCACAATATTAGACACTGGAGATACAGAGCTAGACAATACATACGCTGCCTCTGTCATCATGGAGCTTATCATACTCTACCCTGTAGTGGAATTAGTTGGGCATTTGTTTATTTGCTATAAGTAACTAATCTTTGTATCCTCCATAGTCCCGAAAATGTTATGGCATGTTTGCTGACTAAATGAATAGAATTTTAGAAACCAATGAACTTTGTTTCCATTTATCTACATAAAACATTTCTTCTTTCTTATAGCTGTTCTTATATTAATTCAGAGTTATAAATAAACTTAGTTATTGTGTGAATTTGTGGATATGTGGTTAGATTTAGGTATATATATATATATATATGCATAGTAATGTTTTCCTTTTTATTCATGTAGTCTTGTCTGTTTTAGTACATAACTAAATGATTAAGTAAATGACTTTTATCTGCAGAATTGTGAGCTCAGAATTTCAAATGATAATGTTTAGCATTTGTGACAGGAAAACCTCACTGGACTTTGGAAGAGGGTTCAAGAACATGTTAGAATTAAACAGTTTTGGTGAACTTAATGAGAGCACTTGCCCTCAAGGATCTGAGACATAGAGTGAAAGAAGGTGGATGAGTGCAAATCATCATTTTTATATTCTACGCATATATTCTATAATAATACCAAGTGAAAATACCCAGTATCATTTTAACATAGCTGATATACTTTTGGTAATAATTGTAGTTATATTATTTGGGTTATAACTTTTCATTCTATAGAAGATATATAGGCAGATAGAATTAAGGGAAAAGATGTGCTTCTAAAACGAGCGTTAGTCCCAATGACAGGTAGTCGGAGGTGATATTATTGCAATTTTAAAGGGTCAGAGTGTGACCAGATTTTGTTAATGTACCAACATATGCAGATATGCTGCAGCTGAGCTTAGATCCCCACATTTCAGGGGGAATGAAACCAATCAACAAAGATGCTAGTTCCTCCTTAACTTCAGAAAATTGCAGCAATAGTGGGTTCCAGTGTCTTTGATGTTCATTTATCAAATCAGTTTGATGTGGCTGGAAATGAATTGTCTTCCAAAAAGTCCTTATTTACCCATGTATGGCTTCCTTCTAAGCCCACTTCAGGGTCCCACTCTTAAGGTTGGCTCTCAGAGAGCTGAGCTTAACGCCAACTCTGACATTCCCAGCAGAGTGAGCTTGGACAAACGCCTTACTCTCTTCAACCCACTAATACCAGTTCTGTACATTGGTTTCAGATGTTAGTCATCCCCTTTCCTCTGAAAGACTCTCTGCATACTAAAAATACCCATATGTAAAACAAGGTTATAGATATCTACCATACAGGGCTAATGGGAAGATTAAATGAAATAGTGTTGGATCTCAGTCAACAGTAGGTAATATTTATAGCAAAATCAAAGAATCCAGAGGCTCAGAAAGAAGCAACATTTTATTCAGTTGAGATGTCATGAGCAAACTGAATCCAGACAGGGAAATGTATTATTTGTAAGGGGCTCTTCGTGGAAGTCAAGGGAGGAGAATGAGACACACACAGATATTTGACATACAGTTTAGTTGTTTGTAAGATCTGTGGGATCTGTGAAGTGAGGAAAGATATGTGATAATGGAATTGATATAATTGTGAAAGGTAAAAGATTAGATTTAAGAAAGCACATACTTCATAAAAGAAATGTGAAAGGAAAAACTACTTAAGGATGTGGGTCTTTCCTAAGATCAAGATGAGTGGTGTTGAGAGGGGATTTCAGATGCATTAAGAAAAGTAATAGTGGAAGTAACCAAAAATAATATTTAAAGCCAAGTGTTTGTAATCAATTTACAAGAAGAGTGATTGAAAGGTACTTATGAAGCTTTGCATGCTAAGGGCTTGAAACACCTTAACAAAAAGAGGAAAGTGAGCCATAGGCTTGGTTGGGAATAAGGGCAAGAAAGAATAAAGTTTGTATGCTGCAAAGGAGATGAGACTTTACTTTAATATGATATTGGGATAACTTTCAGACTTATAAGGAGGATAAACAAATTATTTTTACAAAATTAGGAAATGGAAGTAATTGTGACTTGAAAAGGGGAAGCAAATATTCATGTCACCATTCAGCTGTGTCAAATATTTGAAATCTGTTTTATAAAAATAATGTAATATGTTTAAAAAATGATTTTAAAAAAGCTCCTTCAGGAAGAAGGAAAGTCAAAGTCATGAAAGAACGAAACAGAGACCCAAGTATAGAAGAATTCACATACAGTATATCTAGAAAAGATCTTGCAGACATAAAACACATTTTACATTAAAAAAAAAAGAAGTAGTAAAAGAAACACTTAAATTATGAGATAATATAATAGGGAAAAATTTCAGAAGTGTGGAAATTATTGAGATTGAGTTTGAGGAAAGTAAGTTATGAGTGTGTATAAAAGTTTACAAGTCTTTTCTAATAAAATCTTATATGATAAATATCAACATAAAATGAGAAAATGTAATTGTTTTATAATTGTAAAATACTATTTTATAAGTCCAGGATGACCAGAATAACATTAAATTAGAATTTTGAGAGAGATTCAAGATAGCGGCATGAGAGGTGAGATGGAGAATTCCTCCCAAAACCAAAAATAGTATGAAAATATAGTTAATTGCTACAACTAACCCTAAAACAGCAACAAAAAAGAAGGCTGAACCAGACTGCATGTAGACCTCACGAACAGAGCAGACCTCATGAATACAGGGTAACGTACGAAAGCCTTAATCCAGTGGGACCCAAGCCCTTCCCCCACACCAGCTCACTGGCGGAAGGAAGAGAAATGGAGCAGGGAAGGGGGTGGAAGCCTAGAACTGCTGAACACCAAGCCCTGGAGGTCTGCTTTGGGAGCAGAAACCTACACTGTGTGGTGCTCTGGATGTTGGGGAGCTGGGACAGGCAGAGTGTTTGAGAGAAAGATTCTGGCCATTTGTGGAGGGGGGGATCCACACCCGACCGCTCTGGGACAAAGGAAAGGCAGGCGGTGTGAGAGGCTTCCTAGCAGCGAGAGGGTTGCTGAAGGAATGGGGTTTGCATGGAGCTTGCTGCGCTGGGAAGGGGAGAGCTGGACAAGGTTGTCTCGGCGTGCTCTGCCCAGCTGGTAGGGAACCTTGAGGAGCTTCAGGCGCCCCATCTCCTGGTTGCCTACTCAGTTCTGAGGCCCCCCACTGTGACGTGCAACATGCTGTGCCTCCCTCCTAGCCTGTCCTCACCGGTTCACATAC